CCCCGCCCCGCCAGCTATTTGTAAATGCTGATGCGGGCCGCTGATTGCCAAAGAACCTGCACAGCAACAGCAGCAGGGCGTTGCAAACTCACCGCCGCGCGAGTTGTTCTGGACCGGGGAGGTTGGGAGGAGGACGGGCGGGCCCCGAATATTCACCACAGCGTCAGCGGGGGAATTCAACTAACCCCGGAGGCGGCGCGGTGTGGCGCGGCAGGTAACCGGCAAATGATGACAAACGCAAATGCGGGCGGGGCTCTGGATGGCGCGGTGTTCGGTGTTGGAGCGTTGAAGCGCTGAGCGGGGTGGGACAAAAATTACCACCAGCAGCGCGTCCGCCGACCGGTGGGAGTGGGAGTCGAACCGTCGACCATGACGACGTCGCCAGGCTAGGGGTGCCCCCCCCCCCGGTCAACCCCTACCTCCCACGCCCCCGCGACCGAGCCGCACGCCGCCCCTGGAGCGTCACTAAAGTCTCCACTTTATCCACCTCCCCTCGGCACTTGCCCGCTGCGCCCTCCTCCTCCCTCCTCACCCCTCACCCCCTTCCTCTCCAGAGCGCCTCCAGCCTTCGTTAGCCTGCCTGGCCAGGGCCCGGGCCAGGGCCCCACGCTGTCTGCCTGTCGAGGGCTGTTACCCCTGGAGCTGGAGGGGCGCTGCCCCGGCGCGGAGCTGGACTGGAGGGTCCTCCTGTTTACTCTATCTCTGTCTCCCCAACCCCACCCACTGCTCTCTCTTGCTCTCTCCCTCCTTTCCCCCCTCTCCCTCCCCGCGCTCTCTCCAGCAGCCTTTCATTAGCCTTAGAGCGACTGTAGCACTGCGACACACAAGTACACGGTCGAAAAAAACAAAAGTCGACATGGTGGTATGGAAAAGGTGGTTTTAGAAGCAGGGTGGGAAAATCCCCCATCTCATCCTCCTCAACAGGTGGGGGAGGGTGGTGAAAATGCAGAGAGGGTCATGAGGAGCAGGATGAGAGTACTCGGCGTCCTCGTCGGAGCCGTTGGCGACCTCACCTGCGCACACCGACTCGCGCCCGCGCTGACCAACGAGTGCACCCTTGCACCCTACCGTATCCGCGGCCGGCCCAACGAATCTTATTAGGTATTTCCCTGCTCCAGACGCGCACAGCCCCTGAGTTATGATGCGGCCGATGGGAGCAGACGGCCGGCGCGGAGTGGGGGCCAGCCGGGGGCCGGTGTGCCCGTGCATGGCGGCCGCGGCTCAGGGGGCGGCGGGGGCGGCCGTGGGCCCCGCATGGGGCTGGGGGCTTAGAGGGGCCCCTGCCCTGCGCTCTCAAGCCGGCTAGCGTAGCTTGTGCATGATGCTCTTCGCGACGATAAAAATACCACATGTGGCTGTGATTTTTACCGGTGGCCGTTATTGTTGATGTTTTTCAGCACCTCGGTTGTTGTTGTTGTTTACGTCGGTGTTCGGGGGGCGATGACCGCACTGCAGTGGTGGCGGCGCTGGTTGGGCCGGGGCCGGGCTGAGATGGGGTCCTCCCTCCCGCGCCCGCGCCGCCACCCTCACTCGCTACTCGGCCAGGTGGACGGGATGGTGCCGTAAAATGGAAACTGCCCGGCGGCGGCGTGGCGGTGCGTGGCGCTGCGCTGAAATTGTCCGTCCAGGCGCGGCGGCGGGGGCGGCCGCGGGGCGCGCCCCGGATGTGTTTTCGCCCCGCGATCACGCGGCCCGCCCCCGGCTCAGCCCGGCGGCGGCCGCGCGTTTCCAAGGCGACAGCACGGGGAGGCGCGGCCCGCACGGCACACTCCGTCCGCTCAAGCGTTATCCTTCCTCCGCGCCTCGGGGGCCGCACCTGTGGCTGAGCAAGGAGGGCGGCGAGCGGACTGTACTCCACGCGGAGCAGACACAAGGATCACCATGCCGCACGTCGATCTCATCGAGATCAAAGGGTGAGGAGCAGGCTCCCCTGCCCTGCCGCGGGTCAGAGTGCGGCTGAGCGGCCAGAGCGGCTGAGCGGGGTAACCCGGACCCCCCGACCCCTTTTATCCTCCTCAATCCCGTTACGTCTTGGTGTGTTTCAGGGGATCACTCACCAGCTTCTCCCCGTCAGTGCGCATCATGGTCCCGGACGGGTACGAATAAACGAAAGGGAAAAGTGCCAGGCGGAAAAAAGAGAGGCTTTTCACTCTGGAGTTGTTGTAAACAAAATAAAGCCGTGGAATCGTTCTGATCTTTTATTCAGCGATCGCCAGTCGGGAGGCGGCGGCGCCGGCGCGCAGGGCCCACCGCAGGCGACTAGGTGAGAAATGCGCGGATAAAGTCGTGGAAAATAGAGCCGCGAGGGGAGAAGTTTCCCGCAGGCCCCCGAGGCCGTGCGTCATCGTCATGCTGCTGCAGGGGGTCGGCCTCGCGGTCGCAGGGGGAGCCGGGGTCGCGGCTGTTCAGCCTCACGCCCTCCAAAGCGTCCCGGCCGTCCGAGGCGCACTCCGTCATCTCAAAGCCGACGAGCACCCCCAGGACGTCTAACCTGCGCTTCGCGGAGGACATCGGCGGGGGCGGCGGCGGAGGCCCGGCTCCGCTCAAACCGTCAAAGTTTGTAACACACTTAATTCAATCCACCCACACAATACGTATCACACGACTCTCTTGTGGGAGATGGAGAGGGACAGTAAGGATAAGGGCGTGGGGCACTTTGCAGGAGCAGGGTGACGATCACGTCGGACAGATCAAGGGGCCGCCCACATCAGAAGTAAGTAGAGTTTACACACGAGGGTCACTTGGAGAGAGGGCAGTATGTCACTTTTTCTTTCGAACGATGCCGATTTCACGGGGACTTGCTGTGCCACAGGTCGCTGGACGGGGTGGACCTCTCCAACGGTGACTTCGAGGAAAAGTAGGAGGGGGGAGAGAAACCTTGTGGGCTAGAGGGCGGCGGCCGCCCGGGGGGTAGGCTGCCCAACGCGCTGCAGCGTCCGCCCGGCCTTTCTCCCGCAGGCGGCTCCGGAGGCGCAGCCTGCACTCCCTGGGGGTGGTGGTGACGGCAGCCGGCGGGGAGGCCGGCGGCGGCGAGGGCGGCGGGTCCGGGGGCGACAACGGCGACAAGGGTCAGGAGGGCGGCGACCGCCCGGGGCCCGGGGGCGACTGGGCGGAGGGTCCGCCGCATGGCAGCCTCGACGACCGGTGAGGCTGTGCGATATGGACCCTTGGCCCTTATGGACCTCCTGATAGCGGAGGGGGGGGGGGGGGGAGGAGGTCGACGACGACTTCCGCCCCTTGGCGGGGTGGGCACCGGGGGTGACGCCCCCTTCCTAGTCTACGCGTGAAATCGACAGACACTCCCTTGGAGCGAGAGCGAGGGGGGAGCTCAAAGAGAATGCGACCGTGTCATGACGGCTTGCAGGCCGTGGCCCGAGGAGTGGCACAGGCTATCGGTACGGGAGCGGGAGCGCATCCCCGAGTGCCTGGCCAAGCTGCTGCGCGAGCTGCCCGACCCTCGGGAGCTTGCGCCGCTCGTCCGCTCCGTCGTCATCTCGGCCATCGAGCCCTCCCGGGACGCCCTCAACTTCAAGTCCACCACCAAAGTGAAGCGCGTCGGGCTGCTGCCCGTCATCCAGGTCATCCGGGCGGGCGGGGTGAGCACAATCTATGGCTATGGGGTGTCATCTCATGCAAATCTGGTCATGTGAAAAGACGGAATGACAACTTCCTAACCTCCAACTCACTCACCTGTGTTTCCGAGCGAAATATCCGTTGGGTTTGGTCAAGGGACGACTGCTCTTCATGACTTCTCGTGGGTTGGGTTGGTGGCGCCAAAACAGTTCAACACACGATTTGATTTGGTTGTTATTAACATTATTATGACAAAACTAAAAAAGTTTTCATACACCAAACACGGATTTTTCACTTCCGGTCCCGATCTTTCGACAGCTAGGTTAGGTGGCGGTATAATGAGGATGAGAATGCCAAGTATGAAAACTACGTTGCGGGTGACACGACTCTTTCACTGCTTTGGACATCCAGATCCGGGTGGGTAGGTCCAAGGAGGAGAAGGGCTCCTCGAAGCGGTTAGCCACGTTTCAACTCGAGCCCAAGGAGGTGCCGTGCTGGCGGCGCATACGGCTGCTGGTCCAGGAGACGCTGAGCGCCGGGCTCGCGGACGTGCGCTACTCGAGCCAGCTGTGCGCCAACGGCTGCCGAGTCATTGCGGCCGTCATCCTGCACCGGCTCAAAAAGTTCAACTTTGAACGGTAGGTTTCGTACTACTGTACTCTGTATCCTGCAAGCAACGAACTGTTTGTGATCGGCTGGTGCAGGTACCGACTGGCCGCTCAGGTCCGTATCGCGCAGCGGATGAACCAGGGCATGGCCATGGGCGTGGCCTGCCTGTGGAACGACGGCGTCGACCGCTTCTCCTACGCGCAGTACGAGAACGCCTCGCTGTCGGCGCAGGCTATCCTGTTCCTCGTGTACCGGGACTGAGCGGGCGTCGCGTCGCTCCGCTACGCCCCGGCGCCCGGCGCCTCGACGCTCGCCGCGCCGATACCCCGCGCCACGACGCCAGCGATACTCCAGGAGCGAGCGCCACGCCCCCTGAGGAGGCCTGGCTGGGATGGACAGGATTTTGGAGGGGCATATCATTAAGACCTGACAAGCTGCGATAATTGGGCGTGTTCCATTTATTGCAAGGCACAACTTTCTATGCTTTTGTGGCATATTTTGAACTGTTAACAGAGGCGATTTTGATAATTTCAAACGCCTGCCTATTTGTGTTCAGCAACCAGTGGAACACAATCCTAGCATTACAATATAGATCTATCTACAATAAAATAAATATGTTCAATAACATTCTTTAAAATGGCTTCGTTAGTTACATTTATTACCTCCTACTCGCTAAACTTTGGGTCTTATGTACATAACAGTCTTTAAAGTTGAAAATTGAAATTTACACTTCTTATTCAATCTATTAAAATTTACACATCACTTCCTGTGTTTAAGTAAATATACAACACTACTGTACAGCACTCAAGGAAATAATACCCATATCAGCATCTTGCACTATGTACAGCTACAACAATCACAGAGGCCCTGCCCCGAATGGGAAAATAACGACTTGAACACACTCTTACACATGTACAGTGGGGGAAAATAATAACTAAAATTACTACCTACGATTTCGAATTTTAAAAAATCTGAGTAAAATCACTTTGAGGGTACCGTGGCGTTTGCAGTCTGTTTGTGGTGTCACCTCCCCGCGCACGGCCCGGTCCGCCCGCATCCTCCCGGGTACGCGAGGGCGCTCTCAGGAGGACGAGGCTGGCACCGACGCTACCGGTGCTCCTTCTCCTCGCCGGAGAAGGTGATGTAGTAGGGCGACTGCTGCTGCATCTGCTGCGGGTAGCAGGGCGTGGGCGTGTGCGCCGGCCGCCCGAGCGACGCGTACGACGTCCTTCGCGGGCTGACGTGCGACGGCGCGAGGCTAGGCGCCAGGCTGGGCGCCATGGGTGGCAGCGTGTGCATCTTGGAGTGCGGGCCGTGCTGGCCCGCGCCGTGGGGCAGCGTGGCCGCGGCGTAGCCGTGCGCCGCGTACGGCGACAGGTACATCGGGGGTGGGCCTGTGGACAGTTAGCAGCGGTCAGGCAATAGATTAGATATCGCCCCAAAAGACGCCCGTTGTTTTCATAAACATTTGGTAAATAATATGAGCTCGGCGCCTGCGAAACTTAAGGTAGGCCACCCGCACTATAGGCATGCACTGCAGACAAGATGGTTGTCTACCCAGCAGGCGCTACGAGAGCTTGCATGGGCTGAGCTTGGCAGGTTTGTAACGGCGAACGTGACGGGCGTACTTTTCTGGATGATCCACTAAATAGGTGCACTCACCGTACTCGCCGGACTGCATCCCCTGCATGACGGCCTGCTGGTGCTGGTGCCGGGCATGGTGCTGAGCCGCGGCCATGGGGCCGCCCAGCGGCCCGGCCGCCATGGGGCCGCCGCGGTACTGGTTGCTGGTGAGCCGCAGCCGCACGATGCAGATGACGATCACCAGGATGGCGATGAAGGCCACGACGCCGCCCACGATGCCGATGATGAGCGTGTCGTCGTTGCTCACCACGGCGGCGCCCTGGGCGGGCCGCGGGCTCATCATGGTGGCGCCCGCCGCCTTGTGGTGCGGCCGCGGCGTGGTGGGCGGCAGCGACCAGATGATGTCGGGCTCCGTGGTAGGATGCCCGCCCGCCCCCAAGCCCGGCCGCGCGTGGTGGCGGGTGGGGTGGTGCTTGGACAGCATGGTGATGATGGGCGTGCTGGTCGTGGTGGGCGCCGGGGCCGGCGCGGCCGTGGTGGTGCTCGTGGTGGCCTGCTGCTGGGCGCGGTGCGGGTCGCACGTCAGGTCGTCGTCGCCAACCTCGACGAGCAGGCGGTCCGCCATGGACGGCGGGCTGTGACAGCGGAGGTCGCCCATGCCGGATGCTGCGGAACATGAATCACGTTAGCGTTTGATCTGTCCTGAGGCCATCACCACCGCAGCCCTCGAGAACTAGTATTATGACAGTAAAGCCGGAGTGCCAGCCTCCTCCGAGGCCTCCTCCATGTCGACGTCACGGTGATGTCGACGACGGTCCACTTACCGGGTAGCCATCGGCGGAGCGCTCGTGCGGCGCAGTCGCAGTGCAGCGGGTTTGTGGCCAGGCCCTGCAGGGTGTACAGCCCCCGGCGGTCGTCCAGGGCGGCCAGCAGCTGCGGCGACAGCGTCGGCAGCTTTGCCCTAGACACGTCCACGACGAGACGGCAAGAGCGCGGCAGCGGGAAGAACAGCGCGGGCGGGAGCGCGGCGAGGGAGGTGTCCGTCAGCAGCAGCCGGACCCGCGCCGCCTGGACACACCGGACGGTTAGACACGCTCTCCAGGCGGTGACCTCCGAGAGGCTAGACGAGATGCTTAACGCGCACTCACCTTGAGCCCGGCCAGCGCGCTGGACGACAGGCTGCGCACCCGTGAGCCGTGCAGCCCCAGCTCCTGTAGGCGCGGCTGCAGCGCCGGCGCCAGGGTGTCGCCGCCAACGGTGGGGTCCTTGAGCTCGAGCCGGAGCGTGGTGAGGAAAGGCAGCGAGCGCAGCAGGCCGGCCGCGTCCAGGTAGCCGAGGCGGGGGTAGCCCGCGGCGTGCAGGGAGGACAGCGAGGACAGGCCGGACAGCGCGGACCGCTCCAGGCGGGACAGCACGGGCAGCGAGTCAATGTTCAGACGCCGCAGCCCAGCCAGGCCCTCCAGGTCGCCCTGGACGATGGACGGGATGGGGTTGTTGGACACGTCGAGCGCCTGCAGGTGGCGCAGCTGCGCGCCCACCCGCGGGAAGGTGGCCAGCTGGTTGAAGGACAGGTCCAGCATCTCCATCAAGGTGGGCCGGGCAACCACCTCCTTGCCGAAGTGGGTGATGTTGTTGTGGGAGAGGTTGAGCGATCTGAGGAAGGGCGTCTCGAGCTGGGTCAAGCTCTGGATGCCGGTGCCAGCCATGTTCAGTTCACGCACCTATTCAATGAGAGATAATGTCAATTATGTGATCAATTTAACACTCAAAACAATCAGTGCTCAAAGCAAAGGTGACCGTAGTTCTGGACGGCTGGTAATTTCCAACTCAATATTCGGTCAATATAGCTTACCGTCTTGGGCTCGGAGAGTACGTGTGCGATAGCGTCCTGGCTGAGCGGGTTGAAGCTCAGGTCCAGGCGCTTGATGTTGACCATGATGGTGTCGTCGGCGGGGATGTCGACCAGCTTGTTGGAGCTCAGGTCGACGGACGAGAGGAAGAAGTACTGCCGCTGGAGCGTGGCGAGCGGGGCCACCTCGAACAGATTGCGGGCCAAGTTGATGTTGTCCAGGATGTGCACGCGTCCGCGCTCGAACAGTGCGTCAGGCAGCTCGGCCAGTAAGTTCCCTTCCAGGTCCAGCAACTCGATTCGACACAGCCCCTCAAACGTGCGCTCCGACAGCCGCTCCAGTCGATTACCCGCAAGCCACAACATCTGAAAGGGAAGGGCAGGTTTCAAACCGGGTTCGCCTGCAAATCAAAGTACTTTACCTGTACTTTACAGATACGTCAGCTAGTAACACACCTGTAGTTGTGTCGAATTGTGGAAAGCCGTCTCACTAAGCGCCTCCAGCTGGTTGTTCGTGAGGTCCAGTTCGCGGAGTCGAGGCAGGCGAGCGAAGTCCATGTCGTCCACCGCCTTGAGGAGGTTGCCGCTCAAGTTGACCTCCTCCAGGTACCTGTAACGGAGTTGGACCATCTCCCTTTATTCCTGGCCAAAGACTCATCGCGAGGCGATATCGAGTCGGAACGGTTTCCGAGGACTTGCCCAGCGCCCGCTCCGCTCGGCTCCGCTCCGCAGCGCCATGAAGTAAGTGCCGTGGCCTAGGGCCTAGGGCCACAGGTATGCCAGCTGATTGGCTGAGCAGGAGGAATGCGAGGAGAGGGCCCCAGCCCCGGCCCGAGCGGAGCGGGACGGAGACCCACAGCCCCGAGCGTCTGCCCGGGGGCGCGGCGGCGCGGCGCCTGGCGCGGCCCGCGCTCCTCGCTGCAGCGCGCCAACGGTTAGGAACCCGACTGTCACCTCGCCCTTACCTCAGGCCCGCGAGCAGCTCCCCGGGGAAGAAGGTGAGCTTGTTCTGGTTGAGCACGAGCCGCCGCAGCCGTGGGTGCGAGCGGAACGAGTTGGGGAAGAGATAGCCCAGCTGGTTCTGCGACAGGTCGAGCTCCCGCAGCGCAGAGGCGCCCGCGCCGCCCTCGCCCGGCGCCTCCAGGACCTCGCCCCGGAACGCCTGCAGCTTGTTCCGTGACAGGTTGAGCCTGCGCAGCGCGGGCAGCCCCGTGAAGGCGCCGGCGCGGACGTTGGACAGCTGGTTGCCGGAGAGGTCGACCTGGGCGACAGCAAGGAGGGAAGCTCAAGTTAGACAGGGTGGGAGTCACAACGGTTAGCGGTTCGATAAAGACGAGAAGCTCACCGAGGTCAAGTTGACGAGGTTGGCGAAGGCGCCCTCCGGGAGCTCTTGCAGCGCGTTGCCGGCCAGCGACACGCTCTCCAGATCGGCGGCGCGGTGCAGTAGGTCGGCGCTGATGGCGCGCATGCCGACGCGGCTCATGTCCAGCACACGGAGGCGCGCCAGCCCGCTCAGGATGCCGCCGGTGCCGCCCGTAGGCGAGGGCACAAGCAGCGGGTTGCCCGACAGGTCCAGGACCTCCAGCGCGGGCAGCCCGGCCAGTGGTGCGCGTCCGAGGCCCTGCAGCTGGTTGTCGGAGAGGTCCAGGACCCGGAGCTTGCGCAGGGCCAGCGGCCCGCCTGCCACGTTGGAGATCTTGTTCGCGGACAGGTCCAGCTCCTCCAGCGTGTCCTCGAGGCCTACCAGGGCGGACGCGTCCAGCGCCAGCAGGAGGTTGGCGGACAGATCCAGGCGGCGGAGACGTGTGAAGTCGCGGAAGGCGGCCGGCGACAGCTCCCGGATCACGTTGCGGGCCAGCCCCAGGTCGCTGGCGCGCTCCGAGACGGCGCGCAGCAGGTCCGCGCTCACCACGGCCAGGCGGTTGTAGTCGAGCGAGAGCGTGCGCAGACGCGGCAGGCGCCCGAGTGCGGACGCCGGCACGGCCAGGATGTTGTTGTCGCGGAGCCGGAGCGTCTCGAGGGCGTCCAGGCCCTCAAAGGCGTCGTCCTCCACGGTGCGGAGCGCGTTGACGCTCAGGTCGAGGTGTCGCAGCGCGCGGAGGCCGCGGAACGTCCCCGGTGCGATATTGCCGATGTTGTTGCCGCTCAGGTCCAAGGACTCGAGCTGTGTCTGCGCGCGTAGCGCCTCGTTGTCCAGCCGTTGGATCAGATTCGCCGACATGTTGAGCTGCCGCAGTTTGGACAGCTCCTTGAAGGCCACCGCAGGCACCTCTCGCAAGAAGTTCTGCGACAGGTCCAAAACTTCAACGGACACGGCGCCCTCGAAGACATCGCTGTTGAGCTTGGTGATCCTGTTGTGGCAGAGGCTGAGGTCCTGCAGCTTGGCCAGGCCCGTCAGCGCGCCGCCCTCCAGGGAGCCGATGGTGTTGAAGCTGAGGTCGAGGCGTTGCAGCTGCTGTAGTCCTTCCAGCGCACCCTCGCGAATCAAGCCTGCCACACAGAAAGTAACATAGAAAGTAAGAAAACTTCGTCTACTTGTCTCATAACGAGCCCGGCCTGCCTGCTCTCGCGCCTCACCGGCAGACGAGAGACAAGTCTGGACCAGGGGTCGGGTTTCCGCCTGTTATTTTGTATTCGCGCTTTGTTTCATTTCCTGCACTGCGGCACACCGAGCAGCACGTCCTGGGGAAAGTCAAAGGCGCCCGCAGCCTCCCATTCTGTGCGTTAGGTTGCGGTGCGGTACGTGCCTCCCCCCCCCCTCCCCCACACAAAAAAAGCTTCACGAAATCGGTTGCCAAAGAGCACAATGAAAACCCGCCCTTTCCGAAAGTAATAAAGCATTCCGGTGAAGTTAAAATGCAGAAGAATGCGAGGAAGAAGAAAACGGAAATCACTATGCTTTTACATGGGATTTCCGTTTTCTTGTTCCCTGCATTCTTCTGCATTTCAGCTTTACCGGAATGCTTTATTGCACGCCGCGTGCAACTAGGTGCCGGTCCTCCCTCTCCTCCCCCGCAGCCGCCAGAGCCGCTCGCTCTATCGCACCTCCTGGAAATGAGCGGAGCTTGTTCGATCTCCGCGAATAAACGAGTCTGTCACTCGGGACAATGGCCTATCATTCCGAGGAGCCGCGGCGGGAAGCGGGGGGAGGGGGG